GGCTGTGAACATTCTAAACTAACACGAGTCTCATTAAGTGTCCAGTTTAAGGGTATTACATAGAAACATACCAAGGGAATATGAATCAAATATACACTTTTATTCATTTACAATAAATCCATAAAGTACATCATTCTTGATTGAAGCTAAGGGCATACAAAACTATCTAACACCCAGATTATTGAACAGTGCCGAAATTGTGAAAAATCATCCGATTTGCCTTTCTTTGCTCCTGAAGCCTTTTTTTCATGCCCTAAACCGAATTACAAAAAATATGAGTCCAATTATGTACTAATTAAGTATGCAAGACAAAATATTTGGGGATAAAAATGTGATAAATTCTACTCTCATTAGGATTCTTATAATACACATATGCTACTTCCTTTTGCGAATCTCCTAGATTGACATGGCACGGATGACGTTGATACTAATCTCATGTGTATTTTCTAATCCTATTGGGCATTTTGTCATATGCGGCGCCGGTGAAGCACGCGTTTCTGTGTTCTCCCTTGGTTTGCGATGGACTTGAGCTCATCGCAGGTTTGTAATGACTCTGAGTTCATCGCAAACTCGCGGTGGTTCATGCTCACTGCACATTTGCGACGAATCTAAGCTCATCACGGGTACCTTTGTGGCATTGGTTTAGCACCTTCTGTGCTATTACGGTTGTGGTAATCAACATGTACCTACAGAAGGCTAACTGGTTCACAACTAAACTTCACAGTATTACTCTTAAGGATGGCTCGGTGATTCATGAATAGTAAGACATTATTTGAGAGGCAACTAAGTAGGGGTGATCATTTCAGCCTGGCCCAAAAATTTTGGGCTTGGGCCTGGGTTTTGTGTTTAGGCCTGGCCCGGCCCAACCCACATATATTTAAACTTACACATTTTGTGTATAATGTATACATGTTATTTTACATTATATTATATATTTTTATATACAAATATTATAACATGACATTTATAATTTATATTATATTATATATTATATATTATATAATATATAATATAAAAGTTTATATGCATGTTATGTCATTTAATATAAAATATTATAGATATGTAATGTTTTATATATGAAAGACATTGGCTCGAAATCAAGTCTAGCCCGGCCTGGGCCCATATAGACCTGGGCTAGGGCTTATGTTATAGGCCCAGAACCCCAGGCCAGGCTGGGCCTGGGCCTAAACTATAACCCTTATCATAAGTGCAAAGCTCGGTCCGAGCCCGGCCCATTCCAACCCATTATCACCCCTACAACTAAGTACTACAACAATATCCTAACTACGGAATCGTGTACGGTCCATGACCAATTATTTCATATAATTCCTCTTTGTATCATTGAGGTTGAGAGTGCAGCTTTACTTGATTTTCTAAATTATGAGGTAATTCGTACAACAATTTCCTCCCTCTCTTAGGACAGCTCTCCATGTCTAGATGGTTTCGATACAAATATTTTTTATTTACAACATTTATTTTTTTAATATAACTAATAATACTAAAGATGTACAATAACTTTCTAGAAAATTTCTATATTTTTGATAACTTATATATTTCTATATGATTTTCAATTTTTTATTATTTAATGGTACATAAATGTATCTAATAGGTGATGATGATGCAACATCATCATACCAATTGCTGGAAAACATCATCATATCAAAGGATGATACACATGGCAATTTCACTTAACCAGTTTGCTCTATAAAGTAATGATACATCATCATTATCATTTTATTTATGTTCATTTTTGTTGCATCATCATCATGATCATTGCTACTACTACTATTATGATTGCACATGGGTATTATTATTACTATTATTATTTTTATTTTTATCATATAATTTTTGACATCACAAGTTGGCTTGTTTGAGTAAAAGGGATATATGATTTCAATTGACTTTTAGAATATTGGTTTCTTATTAGTACTTTTTTAATTTTGTGGTTACTTAATCTATTAACTTATCAACCCGACTAAGATTTTGGGTTCATTTAGCACCAAATTGCTTGTATGTAGAAAACCATTAACTCAAGTTGTATTTGCTACCATTGCCATTCTTCATGAAACATTTGGGGTTGATCTATAGAAATTGGTGTGAAATATGAATTGTCACGTTACATAATCAAATTTTGTATTTCATTCCATCATTATTAAAAAAAGTCTTATTATTTTCCACATTTTTCTATTTAATATGATGAACATATAAAATAAAAGGTATTCCAAAATGTTTTATACTATTTTGTAATTTTTCATCCTTTGTGTTTGCTTATTTATAAAGTATTTATTATTTAATTATGACATCATGGGTTGACCCATGTGTTCTAGAAGGTTGGACTACTGATCGTAACGTAGATAGGAAAAGAATTTCATTTCTGATTAGTTTTAAATTTTGCGTTTCATTTACATCATTAATTCAAATAATTTTTGTTTATTACTCTTATTTTTGTAATATGATAAATATATAACATTAGTGACGCGTCTAAAGTTTTTCTATTTTTTTTGTATTTTCTTAATTCTTTGTATTTTTCTATTTTAAAAATTTTATTATTGAACTATGATTCTAAATTTTTGTCCATTTCCATCATTTATAAAAATACTTATTATGTACCTTACTTAATTTTATTTAATACAACAAATATATAATATTAGATGTATGCCCAAATTTTTCTTAATTTTTTTGTAGTTTTATCTATTTTAAATTTTAATTTAATATTTAATCATGGCATCACAAGTTGACCTGTTTTGACCCAAATGGATGATTTACTTTCCCATCACTTGTAAAGCATTGATTTCATTTTTGGGTTAGTTTTAAAAATATAGTTTTTATATCATTAAAATTATTGTTCATGGATATATATATATATATATATATATATATATATATATATATATATATATATATATATCCAATGAGAAAGAATGAGAGTAAGAGGGAATATAATAAACTGAAAATTGGTATTTGAATTACAATTTCTACCCTCAGAATGGATAGAAACCAAATTCAAAAAAAAAAAAAAACTGGTATTTAAGAAAAAAATCCAAAAGCCATGTGGAGCTATTCTCACTTTTTTATAGTTGTCAAGAAAAAATCTAGGTTATTTCTTTTTGACGGAAAAAGCCCTATGGAAAAATTTCATTAACATGCTCAGTACAATCAACTGCTAATGTTTCACATAAAAAATCAGGTACAATGGACCAAGTATGGGCACAACTGCACAAGGAATAAAGAGGGCAAACTTAGCAATTTTCTGAGTAGCCTTGTTGCTAGAATGAGGGGTTCAACGAATTGAGAAATGAGGGAGCATTTAAAAGTAATCTGCTATTTGTTATCAAGTTTTTCATACGCAAAGAGGTTCAAGACTTTCCTTCAATAGACTTTTAGGTTGTGTTTGGTTTGAATGAAAAAGTAGGGAAAGGAAGGGAAAAGTAGAGAAACATATACAAACTAGTTAGAAAAAGTTTGCATAGGTTTTCCTACCTATCCTTATATTTTCTTTCAAACCAAACACAACCTTAGCAATTGACTAAAGTCTCCTTCAAATTCAACATAAGAGGCACCCATTTGGAGAGCCAATTGAATTCTAGCTAGTGTTGCTTAGGCTTTGATATCTTTCAGACAACAATTAGGGACTTTCAAGGTGTCGCCATGACAAAGGGAACCAAATGAGTCCCTATAATGGTCACCCCAATACCACCATGCAAATTAATTAGAGCAGCATCTCAGTTTACCTTCACCACTACTTAGGACATTTTATTCAATAAGTACTTATTTGAATAAATATGTATTAATGTATGGGAGTCTTTTCTCAAACCACTTATTTATTTTAAGTATTTATTTGTATTGTAACGTTTGGTGAGCTTATCCCATAAGCACATATATTTGCGGAAATGACAATTATTGTCTCCTAAAATATAAATACTGCTTTTATTTTTATTAATCGCAAAAAAAAAAATCAAATATCAATGTACATACATACATACATAAACTCCTAAAAATTGCTACTTCAGTTCGACAACATTAACATACATTAAAATTGGTATTATCATAAACAATCAAATATGTTTACAAAATCAAAGAATTGGTTTCTATATGCTGGTGGATGAGAAGCACAAAGTACTCTTGTACTTGGCAGGTCATCAACAACTTGGTCTCTTCCATATGTCGCCTATATTGAGGGTACTCCGTTAATTTAAGATTGTTAAGCATTGGTCAAGGAATTCTTGACTATAACTTTGAAGGATGAATAGCAATGGGCATCTTCAAGAGGGCTAATGGTGACTTTGGAATTTTGCTCACTTAGTCCCAGGAAAAATGAGGATGAGTAGTATCTTCAAGGGTAATTTTAGAATTTTGAAAGTTTTAAATTGCATATAATTTAGGAATAATGCTAATAGCAGGTCATAAAGACAATTTTAAGGGTGATCACAGTTTGGTTAATTGAGTCATGGGTCTATTTTTTATTTACCAGTTCGTTGATTTTCAATTTTTTATATTTATAGTATATTGTATATATAAATATAATATAAAGTAGAAATATATATAAAATATTATTTTTAAATAATAAATAATATTTTATATATTTATATATATAATACATATTTATTAATTTATAATATAATATGTAAATATACATAAAACCGAACCGATACCTTAAAAATACCCAATTGAAGTCAAGTTGGAGTGATAAAGTCCCAAGTATTTTTTTTGGCTTCCAAAGTATAATATTCAAGTTATCCAAAACTTCAAACTTATATATATCTTTCTTTCTCCTCTCTGCACGTGCCACTCAAATCAGTGTTATACTTATATGAATGATTCAGATTGGACTCTCGAAGTCAGCAGTCTGCACGACTCCACCAGACAGAAAGAATGGCGAAGACGAAAGTCGGCTCTTTAATCCCATCACTTCTAACTCTATTGTTGTTTTCAGAGATTTTGGGTAAAATATTTTATTCGCATTAAGCTTATTTTCATGAAACCTAAAAGCATAGTCGAATGGTTCTTAACAGTTTTAAGCCTTTAGCGCTGACTAAGACGAAAGTCGGCTCTTTAATCCCATCACTTCTAACTCTATTGTTGCTTTCAGAGATTTTGGGTAAAATATTTTATTCGCATTAAGCTTATTTTCATGAAACCTAAAAGCATAGTCGAATGGTTCTTAACAGTTTTAAGCCTTTAGCGCTGACTAATCAATTCTGTTCTCTTTCTTCTTCTTATTTTTTTCAGTTTCTGCTAAGAAATCTGGTGATGTTACGGAATTACAGATTGGCGTGAAGGTATGGTTTACCTTCCATTTGCTTTTGTTCCTTATTTTGTTATTCAATGGGATCGAGATCTGCTTTTGGTGATTCATTTTTATTTCTAATAGAAAAGTTTATATGGGATTAAAGAAAACTTCAAACCTAGATGTTCTAGTTCATATTCTTTTAGAGATAGGTGGTCCATTATTAACACGCAATCATAAATTTCAAAATGGGATGAGGATCTTTTGAATCCTGTAGAAGATCCTAGGCAGTAGTTGTAGATGCGGCAGGCTAATTGTTGAAAAATCTCTTGTACATCTTTTCTTTTTCTGGAGCATGCTGAAAAAATGTTCATATTTATTACTATTATTGGAAAAATAAAAACAGAAAAACAAAGATGTTGGATTGCAAATACCCAGAGCCTTGCTCAATTAATTGTCTCTTATAATATATCCCTTATGCTTGCCAGAAAGAAGTACTGCATACTTGTAGTTATGGCTTTGTAAAGGGCTCTCATATGTAATTTCTTTTTGAGTGAAGCTCTCCCTCTTTTATAATACAAGGTATAAAGTTTTACCTTTCAGATTTTTTACCATAAATACAAAATGCATCCACTTTTTTATTTCTTTCGGCTGTGTATATATGGATGTAAATGAAGTAGAGAAGAAATGTTTCCACTGTAAAGGGGCGAAAACCCACTGTTCGAAGATAGAACAGCAAGCTTTACAATACAGCAGAGCTCTCTACAACCAGATCTGCAAAGGAAAACTCCCTTGATCAGTTTTATACATTACAGCATGGACCTAGACAACCCCATTCTGAGGACTCTCTCCCCACCCCCATCTTGCTAGGGAATCAACCAACATATATGCACTCCTAGGAACCCCTTTGAATGAGGTATTCAAGGAGGCACTGGTGTGTCCGGAAGCACGTCGTTAAACACTTTGGAGCACCAATTTAAACATTTATAATTTTATTCCGATTCTTAAACAACTACTAACGCAATAAAGTGATGAGAATGGGTCATATCCACAGGGAAGCAAGGGAAAAATATTTACATACTTAGATCTGAGAGAGAGAACACAAAGGGTAGTTGTAGAAATATAAAATTAATTAATTAAAAAAATGGAATTCATTAAAAACAAATTCGAACAGTACTAAGAATAACAAGTGCATAAAAATTAATAAATAACAGAAACAAATAAATAAAAGGAACGAAATAAAAATGTCTGAGAATCCGATCAGAGGTAGTAGTCTCAGGATCTCTCCTTCGACCCTCGAACTTCTTGAGCTAGGCCTTATGTCTTACCTGGCAGAATTTCAGAACTACAGAAAAGAAATAAAGTACAAATTAAATCTAATAAAAGTAAAATTTGCAGGAAGGAAAAATGAATTGGAAATTAAAGAACAGAAAGTAATTCTAAAACTAAAGAAAAGAATGATTGATCAGATCCTGTGGCGGTAGCTGCAGATTGGTTGAACAGCTTGCAGCAACCCCTCCTGACAAGAACTGGACGTCCTCTCCTTTTACAACCCTTGAACTCCTCAAGAAACCTTAGCCTTGTTAACTGGGCGAATTGACCAACCCTTTCTACAGGGCCCCTGGGGTCCTTTTTATAGAGAAGGGTGGGCACAACTGGGAATAGAGAGAAAGAGGGGGGCGGCAACTGGGTTTTAGCAAAAATATGGGTGCCCTAGGGTTTAAAATGAAGGGTTAGGATGGTTCTAGGGTGATCCTAAGGCTAGGAAGAAAAGGTTAGGGGTGGCTAGGGTTTGTTAAGAGTGAAAAGAATGGATTAAAAGGCGCCTTAGGGTTTGCTAAGGTGTGGGGAGCATGCTAATATAGTAGGAGGGGCGCCAAACTGGGTTTAGCAGCTAGGAGGCGCCCTCCTGCTTTCAGTTTTTCACAAAAACACCCCCTCTCTTAGTTGGACTTCACACCAGCTTTTCAAAATCTGCATTTCAGCCATGAAAACTTCCCAGTTTTCCCCAGAATTTGCATAGAGACCCTTAGAGGCCACAACATTGCATTTAACTGGGAAAGGGGCACATCTTGACTATTCTAAGGCCGAAAATACCCCTGAATTGATGCCCTTAAAGCATCAAAATGCAGAGTTATCAAGCACCTATGGAGACGGCCAACCTCACCATGGGCTTGAACTCCCACAGTATTTGATATTGTGTCTTCAACCAGCTTATAACAGTTTGTCAGTTCCTTCTATAACCACAATTTTCAACCCCTGCTGCTTCATCATCTTCAACCCTTTGGATTTGAGATCACACTTTTGCTCTTAGGCCCCATTCGTTTTCACTTACCTGGGTAAGTATGTTTACCTGGGCAAATGTTTCCCAGTAAAACTTGCCCGGGTAAGTGAGGTTCGAGCGTTCTTGTACAATACAGATTACCTGGGTAAAGAGAGAGGCGGGAGGGAGGTAGTGTTATCAGCACGTGGGTAAGTTTCTTACCCAATATAGTGGGTAATGAACATTGGGATAATGGTCAATTTCCTGGTTGACCAACTTACTCCCCTGCTAAATACCAGCAACGGGACCTTAGTGACTTCCCCTAACCCATTGGACCTGAGAAACTGAGAATTATATTGCCCCAATGATCCCTTATAACACCCCCACACCAGAGATACTTGGATTTCCAAGGCAACATCCATCACAGTTGAATTTGACGAACCTTCTTTTGGAGGACTCCAATCCAACATCCTTCTCTGTTTGTTAAAATGATAGCTGGCCACTGTTTGCCATTCCCTAAGCAAGTCAAGGATAGAGACCCCCTTAATATCCTTTGTTACTAATTCTCAGTGAACCACCCTTATCATTGTTAGTTCTATTACCTCCTCCTTTGACTTGTACTTCTCTTAAAAATTTATAGAATTCCTTTTACACTACAATCCCCATAGAACAACCACCCTTATCATTGTGAGTTCTATTATCTCCTCCTTCAACTTGTACTTCTCTTCAATAATTCTATAATTCCTTTTACACCACAATCCCCATAGAACAACCACCCTCATACATTGTGAAAGAACTTTCTCTCCTGGTAGACTGACCCAACAAATCTATCTCAAACAAATCCACCACCTCATTTGGCATCGCCCAAGATGTTCCTACCAAAGGAAAAAAGTGTTGCCATACCTTAGAGGCATAGGGGCAATGGAACAATAAGTGGTTGGTATTTCTCCAAAGGAGAAAGAGACCAACCTTCCACTTCCTTTGGAGATTTTCACATGCAATGATGATTTGGTTGGCAGCTTCCCAACAGAAAATCTTGACTTTAGGGGAGATGGCATGTCTGTCTTATCATATGTTACTTAAGTTCTGTCCTTCATAATGGCAGAACACTCTTTCATTGTATTCGGATTTCAGAGTATCAGCCAACTTTTTTTGTTCTTTCTTTTCTATCTCTAATTTTCTGCCAAAAAGGTATTATCACATTCTTTATCTTGTTTACAGACTTTTTCCTGCTTGGTTATCTTCTAATTTGATCTTTGTTTTCCTTGTTGCAGTTTAAGCCAGAAACTTGTGATATTCAGGCTCACAAAGGTGACATAATCGAAGTACACTATCGGGTAGGTGATAGTTGCAATAGGAAGAATAAATGGGATATGTTCTAATAAATTATTTTTTTTTTTTATTTTGAGATTTCATTGGATTTCACGAAATTCCAGTTTGTTTTAAGGTACTAGAACAAAAAACTAAAAAAAAAGATAAATTTATTTTCACCTTCATATTTCATAAAATTTTCCAAGCACTAAAATTTTCTTTGCTATTTGTTGTATAGTATTTTCGTGATTTATTTCTTCTATCTATTGTATATATTTTTTATGCAAATGATTTTTCCTATTTTGAAATACTTTTCCTGCATTTTTAATATTTTAAAGACTTGGTTCAAATAATTTATATACTTTAAAGAATTGATGAAAATATTTCTATATTTAAACATGCTTAGCTTTATTGTGAAAAGTAATTGAATAATGCATAAAATCATAAATATAGTCTGCACTCTTCACCTGTTGCGAAGGAAGAATGAGAGAGTATATAAAAGAAATATTTGACCTTTTTATATGTAATTTGGTTTATCATTTGCTAATTATATGTATATATAGAGACTAATATATCTAAGTTATATGAATAAATCTATAACAGAAAAAAAAGGATTCTGTAATTTTTTACCAGACGAATTATTTATGAAATATTTGTTCTCGTATATAATTTACAAATCTTTGCTGAACTGTTGAAAAATATGGAAGATTAATGGTTTCTCAAAAAATCACCAGATTGATAAATAATTTAGCAAATAAATAAAAGTGCTGCTCACTTCTGTACCCCATTATTATGGATATCTTCTAAGTTCTAACATCTTATGCAAATGTTAAAACTTCCTAGTCATTTTATTTATCTTACCAGCTCTATTGTTTTTTTTTTTTTTTTTTTTGTGAGCAATTTTAGATAACATATGTTCTGATCCTAAATTTCCCTGTTGTAAAATGACTTAGGGCTATTTGATAACTGCTGAAATAGCTGAACTGAATGACCTATTGCATTGTCTTTTATGTTCAGTTTGGAAGGAGTACAAATGCAAATATGTAGAGTGCAAAACCTTGTATTTTGTATTATTTTGTTTGTATTTGTACTGTACATATTTGTATTTGTACCTTTTCCAAACTGAGCCTTAGTGAATAGGTTTTGAAGGAGGTTAAAGCTTCCATATCTGCACTTTATTTACTGATGCTATCACTCTACACATGCAGGGAAAACTCACGGATGGAACTGTTTTTGATTCCAGCTTTGAAAGGGATGATCCAATTAAGTTTGAGCTTGGCAGTGGCCAAGTTATTAAAGGTGTGTGATAAACTGATATTGATTGTGACTGCCCCCACACTAAATAAGAAAAGAAAAAAGATAGAGAAAACAGAGAAAAAACACACAAAGAAGAGCAAAGGAAATTATCTCTCTTTTTCCTTATATTGTAAACAAGTAGGAAATGAAAATAATTGTTAGAGATGACAGAATGATGATGAAATTTCAAATGTATTGCTGATCAAAAACTAAAAAGAAAAGAAATTTCAAATGTATTTCATACTACAGCTTCATCTAGCCTCACATACTAAGAGCCTAAGGTACATTCTCTGAAATATCATTCTATCAGAAGGACATTCACATTAGTTCATCTTTCCTTGCCATTGTAGTACAGATGTATATATGTTACATTGTTACAGAACATGGTTTTATGATAAATCTGCTTTCAGCACTTAGGCTATTTATGAGATAGTTTATTTCAAATATTTAATGCATTCAGCAATTCAAAAGGGGCTATTGATTGGTGTAATGGTAACCTCAGGATATCAAGCATTAAAACGAGGATTTGAGTCTAAGAGTGGCCACTTTACACAAAAACCCCTCCCAACAATAGTTAGGAGTTAGGACCAATGGTTAATGGCCTTCTTTTATTCAGCAATTCAAACCAATGTTCTAAAAACTGACCTGGAGGCCAAACCACTTTTCCCTTTGGGTGGGGTTCAGCATTTATTTTTTTATAGGAAATGTTAACTTTCATTGATAACAAGAGCTAAAGATTACAACTGTCACCATCCATAGGTCGGATGGAAAGCCCTTAGTCAAAGTCAGTCTTACAAACAGGCCCAAAACAACTCCTACCTATTTACTCCTTGTTTAGCTAGAGCATCAACAATTCCGTTTTCTGATCTTCTTGTCCATCTAAACTGCACCCCAAGTTCCCTTGCTAAGCCCAAGATTTCCCTTAGCTGTTATCTGAAAGGCCACATGCCCAAACTTCTTGCTTGCATCCAACCAATGTTTTAAAAGGCCTGGGAAGCGTATGCATAGAGGTGCGCCTCTAGGCGAGGTGCCCCCAAAACGCCCTGAGGAGTTGACACCTCTGAGGCGTACGCCTCAGGTGCAAGAGGCATATGCCTCATACGCTTTTTTCATGAGGTGTGCTAGAGGCATTCATGCACACCTCATAAAAAAGACAAAAAAGAAGAAAAAAGAAAGAAAGAGAAGAAAAAAAGAGAAAAAGAAAAAAAAAAGAAAATGAAAGGGAAGGGAAGAATAGATAGATAAGGGGAAAGAAAGTGGGCCAGGGGCTCTGCCCCTGGACCCCTTTTCAGTTCAACCACAACATTTCAGCCACACCATGTGCCATGGCTCTATACTCAACCTCTGCATTGGACCTAGCAACCACAACTTTCTTTTTACTTCTCCAAGTTACCAAATTACGTCCAACAAAGGCACAATAACCTATGATAGATCTTCTACCATCAACCGAACCTGCCCAATCAGCATCTATATGTCTCTACCCCTAAGAAACCATGCTTGGAGAAGAGAATACCTCTACCAGGGAATTTTTTTTAGACACCTAAGAACCCTCTCTGCTGCTACAAGATTAGTTCTAGGAGCATGTACTGGCTTAGCACTCCCACTACATAGGCAATAGTAGGCCTAGACATAGACAAATATAACAATCTTCCAACAAGTCTTTGAAATTGTCTCACACTAGAGAGGGGCTCACCACCTTCTTCCCTAAGTTTATAATTAACATCAATTGGAGTATCAATAGGTTTACCAATCATGTAAAAAGGTATAGGATGTACATCCTTTGAGAAATAAAGATGCCTTTATCTGATCTTGCAACTTTAATTCTGAACAAATACATTGGGGGGCCTAGATCTTTTACTTCAAACTAAGCACCAAGAAACGCTTTTAGCTTTAGAATCTTTGACTCTTAGTTCCCTGTAGTAACAATGTTGCCTACATACACAATAAGTATAGCAACCAGATCACCTTCTCTCTTCATGAAGAGGGTATGATAACTTTTGACTCTGTTTGAAACCAAATTGTTTAACAACATTATTAAACCTATAAAACCAAGCTCTAGGTAATTGCTTCAAGCCTTACAACAACTTACTTGAAAGAAGAAGAAGAAGAACTGTTTACTGTATTACAGGTTTGAAGAGAAGAAAAGAGAGAAAGAGAGAGAGAGAGAGAGAGAAAGAGTTAAGAGAGGAGAAAAGAAAGAAGGGGTTCAGTGGTGAATGATCTGCTGCCCCATACACTTCTTTATTTATAGCTTTTAGGATCCTTACAAGAATAGGAAATAAACAAAAATTAGAAACAATAAGGCCAGCCAGTTCAACTTAACAAAAATTAAAACTTCTAACAACAGAAATTAGAAACTAAAGAAATTAGAACTACTAAAAAGAAATTAGAAACTACTAATAAAAGAAATTAGAAACAACTAGGTGTGGGTATGAAACCACACACACTAGAGTCTGAGTGTGGGTATGGAACCCCACACCCGTGGCTAACCAACTATTTCTTCAAACTTCTTGAGATGACGAACTTTCCCTTCAATTTCCTTTGACAAAAAATCTGGAGGTTTAACTATATGCACCTCCTCCTCGAGATCACTGTTCAAGAAGGCGTTCTTAACATTTAATTGATGTAATTTCCAGTTAAAGATTGCAGCAAGGGAGAGAAGAACATAGATGGAGACATGGAGTTCATTGTAACAACTGGAGCAAACATCTCCGTGTAATGAACTCCATATGTCTAGGAGAAACCCTTGGCCACCAACCTAGCTTTATATCTTTCCACTAAACTATTGACACAATGCTTGACAATAAACACCCACTTGCACCCCATAGGTCTCTTACCCTTAGGAAGGCCAACCAAATCCCATGTGCAAATCTTATGAACAAAATTTTCAAGGCACCATGGCGAGGCTAGGCAACAGGGGGGCGCCTTGTTGCCTAGTTGCCGAGGCGCCCACTTAGGCGATGGGATTTTTTTAAGTAAAAACCACATATCCTAGGGTAGATCCCCAAGTTCCATAACCATCTTTCCTTAATAACTATCCATAATTTTCATAATTTTAAACTTCATGTTTAAGTCTAGAAAATCAACATATTTATGAGAAGAAAAAGAAGAAAGAAAAAATATTCAAAACATATAGGGGCTGAACCCCTATTTTTGTTATAGGAAAAGAAGAAAAGAAAAGGTGGAAGAAAATAATAATAACCCCTATTTTTGTCTAATCACAAATGTGTTGATTAGACAAAATTTTAAGTTCTTCCCTTATTGGTTCAGATTTTGAAGTCTTTGAGGGTTCAATACAACAGTTAGCAATGTTTGTGTTGATTAAACCCTAACAAATAAGAAATTAGTTTATAAACACAAAAATGAATATTTTTGTAATAATGTTTATTTTATAATTATAATCTCAAAAACATGACAATATAAAAGTATTTTATACGACGATATACAGAACTACTTGGCGACTGGGCGAGGCGAGCCACGAAGGTCACCTTGTCGTCTTGACAACTATGCTTATGAAGAGCATCAATTTCCTCTAACATAACATTCTTTCACTCAGGACTATTTAGAGCCTCTGCAACAGATTTAGGAATAGCGACACTAGAGATATGCACTACACTTTAGGTTTACCTCCTAAGATTCCACTTGTTTAGGAAATGCAGTGTCAAGTATCTCTTCACTTGATGGTGTATGTTGCTCTTGTTGATGACATGGAGGACAAGAATGAGACTTGGACCGAGAGTAAACACGTTTGGCAGGAACATGAACCGAAAGAGAATGACAAGTAGTAACAGAAGGACAAGAGCTGAGGGAACAAGGACATGCTTTTCCTCCTGACTACAATTCTCTCCCTGAGGAGAAGTAGGAAAGAAAGACTGAGACTCAACAAAGGATACGTACATAGAAATGAATGTCTGCCTAGAAGAGGGATCATAACACTTATATCCCTTTTGGGTGAGGGATAACCAAGAAAAATACAAGGAATGGAATGGGGATCAAGCTTATCACGAGATGGGGACAAATCCTGGATGAAACATCGACATCTAAAGGTACGAATAGTAATAGAAAACAAAGGGGACTTGGGAAACAAAAGTTGATGTGCGGCCTTAAACTTGAGAATATGTGTGGGCATCCGGTTGATAAGAAATGCAATTGTCAACACGCCATCATCCCAAAATCTTTTAGGAGCATGCATATCTAACATCAAACCACGAGCCACTTCAAGGAGATGTTAGTTCTTCCTCTCAACAACACCATTCTGTTGAGGAGTTCTTGGACATGTGCTTTGATGAATAGTACCATGCTAAGAAAAAAACTGATTTTGATCACCTCTAAAATATTCATGAGCATTGTCTGAGTGAAATATTTGTACTTCTACATGGAATTGAGTGAACAACTATTCTTTGAAATTAAAATTTGGTCAACAATCTGTCTTATCCTAAATAAAGGCTCCTTGAGCTTGTGAAATTAATGAGGGAAGTACCTTTTTGATCCTTAATGACAACACTTTAGCAATAATCTTATAAATGTTAGTCACTAAACTGATAGGCCTGAAATCTTTTGGGCATCATTCTTCTTTGGCACCAAAGCAATGAATGCTGAGTTCATACTTGATTGATAATTCCCCTCCTATGAAACTCTCTGAACACTTTAATTGAATCCTCCCTAATTATTTCCCATAAATTTTGATAAAAGGCCATTGTAAATCCATCTGGCCCTGGAGCCTTAATCTATTAATTGCACACATTGCCTCTTTTATTTCCTCGTCATCAAATTTTCTTTCCAACCATTCCAGGTGATGATCTCCCAATAAATCCCAGTCAAGCCCTTCAATTGGCCATCTCTCATTAAATGGCCTTATCTAGTATTGCCATCCCCCTCCTTGAACCACTTTTCTCTAGATTTTTGCTTCCAACTGATTTCCTCCCCTAGCAGAATTTCTTCTAATTCCTTCTTCAATCTCCAACTCAAGTCCTTGTCTTCCATTACTGACCCCAAATTCTCCTTTCTTGTCAATTTCTCGAATTTGTGAAATCAAATTAGATTTTTTCTCCTCCACTCTCCCAAAAATCACTCTATTCCATTCTTTAATTTCTTCCTTTATCTTTTGAAGCTTCTTCAGGAATCTCTAACCCCACCTTGGGAGATGATCATGGGTACTCCAAACCCTCACCTTTAAATTCCGGATGGGTGAGCCACATATTTTTAAATCTAAAAGGAGAAGGCCCTCCTATAGTGCTTGGCTGATATAAACAAATAGGCTAATGGTCAGAAATTATCCTAGGCAACGTGCTCCCCAACAAACCATTCCAATGTTCTTCCCAATCTAAGGAAACCAAGAATCTGTCTAACTTAGAGCAAATAGGATCAGCTTGAAGATTAGACCAAGTGAATCTAGTTTGTCCCAAGGAAATATCTGTCAACTCAAAGGCTTCAATAAATTCATTAAATCTCCTCATGCTTGTGGTCACCTTTTTCCCTGTACTATTTGACTCACTAAAGAATCTGGTCACATTGAAATCACCTCCTAAACACCAAGGGCCCTCCTAGAGATCTCTAATATCCTCAAGCTCTTCCCACATCTGCTTCCTTCGCCTATATAAGTTTGGCTCATAGACATTCGTGAGCAACCATTCAAATCCATCTTGCACATTCTTCAACTTTACAGAAACAGAAAATTTCCAATTAATTCTTTTGAGCCTTGTACAGTTTCCTCCTTCCACATGGTTATTATTCCAAGCCACCAGAGTAACAGGGGTTACCAGATCACGACATGGAGTTAGGCACCAAAAGGGGAGATTTCAACAACTCTTTCTCATGTTGTCCCAATTTAGCACACCTATTCCCTGTAACATCAGTCCTAACATGTTGAGAAGTATCCATATTAGCATTTTGTTGTAAAGACTTTGGTCTTGCTTCCCCGACTAGAATTTCAATGGAAGAATTCTGATTCAACTGCATTTTAGCCACTCTCACCACTTTCCTTTTCTACCATTCCTTCAGGGTTCCTTCAAATATTAGCTTTGATACCACAAAACCTCCGTAGATACCCAAAACAGTCTTTCATTCTCAAGTTTTCCTTGTAATAGCGTTTCTTGCTTGTCCCCTGAATAAGCTTTTGGATCATTCGAGCCCATGTCCCCTGAGTCAGACTTTGAAACACAATCCCATGTCTCCTTTCCACTAACCAGCACCTCTCTGCAAACTCTTCGAGAGCTTCAGCGATTTTCTTCCATCCCTGTTTACCTCCTTGCATGCATAGTTCAATTCTCCAGCCTGGTTCTGGAACCACAAAAAAAAATGGCAACGATGATGCCTTCAAAGAATCCCTGGCTTCCCTGTTTAGAATTACCATAGACCTTACTTTTTTTTGAAGATAAAATAAAATTTATTAAAGAAAAACAGAGGAGTTACCTTAGACCTCTTATCTTCCCTTATTTTGAGGCCGAACTTCCACCAGTTTCTTCGAATAGAAAACTTTTCCTTCCACTACAATCTCATTCTTCCACTTGGTCACCAGTGTGATGTAACCTTTGCCATGTCTTTTGCTTCCTGTTCTCTGTTCATGATTGGTTGCCATCTCTCCTTCAACTACTGCTCCATAGAGGCCATTAACATCTCTGAGAAATGGGTTGGACAGAGGGATTTCTGTCCAAATGGTAAGGTTAAAGAAGCTTCGAACATTACTACCTTGATGCTTCTAGGCAAGAGGTTCTGTGGGCTCACCACCTTTAATTTGATCCACTCACAAGTTGCTAGCTCTTGGTTGCTATTATCTGTGCAAATGAAACCTCCACAAGTGTGTCTCCTGTGGATCGGATGACCAATGGGCACTAAACCGATAGGGGAAGGCTTAAGACCCTCATCTAAGTCTTGTTCTGTGACTAGATGGCCTTTTGGAGAGTTTGAGTTGGTATTCGATTCCCATTAAGCAAGATTTAGCGATACCAGGGTCCTTTAGCCAAAACTCCACTTGCTTCCTTTCGAGAGGCAAAAATAAGCAGGTAATGGTTTTGGGAGAGTGATTTTACTCTGGCACTATTAAAGTGTTCTCATTTTGCAGCAGCTCAACATGTAATCTCCCCAGTCTAAAACTTCCCTTGATCAAACCACCAGAACTCCATTTGCTTCCTTTCGAGAGGCAAAAATAAGCAGGTAATGGTTTTGAGAGAGTGATTTTACTCTGGCACTATTAAACTGTTCTCATTTTGCAGCAGCCCAACATGTAATCTCCTCAGTCTAAAACTTCCCTTGATCGAACCACCCTACTAGGTAATTTTTGAGGAATCGTTCTCTTGCATACATGCTTTCTTGCTCAGTGTTGACCCAAATCTCATTTCCTCTACACCATATTGATGCCAACCCTTCTGTAGGCCAGACTCTAGAAATTATTGCTAGAGCATTAGGAAGAGGCCTTCCAGAGCCATGAAAGCGATTACCCTCTACGTTTTTCTTCAGTAATGTGAAAGGAGAGTTCATCTTCATGACTCTGAATCCTGCCATAGTTTGTCAAGTAACCAAATGTATGTGCATATACATACATAAAAGCCCAGTGACATCCAGCTGGTTAAGGAATAACAGTCGGGAAATATTGCAGCTGACCTCCAGCCATTCTGAAGCTTCTTTTTTGAAACCTGGATTACTGGGATTTGAGTCATTCTTATCTAATCATGATTTATTACTAGATTTGGGTTTGGGATAGCTTTTCTCAACCTGAACTCTGTTATGTGGCCCAGTTTGACCTCCATAAACTGGCTCTTAATTGAACAAACTCTTTATCCTGCCTTGCCCTCTATGGGTTTGTGCTGACATTTTCTCCACCAAATTAGTAAGTTGATGGCGTTTTCCAGCCTGAGACCCTGATAGCCACCCAAGTCCTTTATATGGAAATAAAAATTATGTTAGCATGAAAACCTAGCTACCACTGTATATTTCCTTGCAGGGGCTATGTTGTAACTTGTTCTACATGGAATGTATATTTTGGTTGGTGAAAATCAAAATTCATATTACACTTTAATATCGATTATGGATGGTTGGATTGTAGATTAATTAATGCTTTTGTAGGCCATGTTTATTTTAGTTTGTTTGATCCTCTCATGCAATGAAACTAAAGTAGATGAGTAATGTTTTGCTTCATCGTTTTTGAAGGATAGGATCAAAGTTTCTTGGGTAACCATGTTTTTAGGTTGATGTAGATAAGCAAGAAGATTTTCTGCTTTTGATGGTTGGATTGTAGATTAATTAATGCTTTTGTAGGTCAGGTATATTTTAGTTTGTTTCATCCTCTCATGCAACGAAACTCAAGTAGATAAGTAATGTTTTGCTTCATCATTTTTGAAGGATAGTAGCAAAGTTTCTTGGGTAACCATGTTGAAAAGTCTAATCGATGTAGATAAGCAAGATGGTTATCTGCTTTTGATGTATATTTAAGTTATTTAATACAATAAACAACAATGCATTGTGTTATGTGCCATAACACCTTCCCAATTTCCATTGCTATAATACAGGTACAAATGCTGAGACTTGAAACGCCATTGCACCAAAAACCTACTCCAAAAGTACACTATTGTTGATACCCATGACAATTGTCATCTTTTGACAAGATAAGCTTTGTTGCAGGATGGGACCAAGGGCTTTTAGCTATGTGTTTGGGGGAGAAGCGAAAGTTGAAAATACCTGCAAAACTTGGTTATGGAGAACAAGGATCCCCACCTAAAATTCCAGGTAATACTCTTCTGCACTGTTTGTTTCTAAAAGTAATGTTTTTTTGATAGGTGTTGAAGTAATAACATGATATGCCTATGCCATAGATGTATTTAATATTCCACTCCAGGGTGTAAAAAGCTCCTGCTGTTTCCGAATCATCTTTAATAGATTTGATGTATTATTGCATCATGGGTGGAAATCTCAGTCTTCTAGTAAACTTTAGGAACATCTTGTTGCAAGTTCAATTTCTTTTCAAGTTACTACAAATTGATAGCCCCATTATGTGTTATACCAAATTGCATAATATCAAACTTTGAACCAGATAAAACAAAATAAAGCCCTAAGCTTCGAAAAGATGATTGTCTTCTGAATACATCTTCCATCTGGTATAAAAATTCTAATTACTGATTTGAAAAATCACAGGTGGAGCAACACTTATTTTTGATACCGAGCTCGTTGCAGTGAATGGTAAAACATCTGGAGGGAAAACGACAGGTGGTGAAAGTGAGCTATAACTGAGGAAACGTTCCTGAATCCATTGGTAGTTAAAAATTTGAGGAGTTTCCAGAGAATTTATTTGACATTTTCTTAATACTTTGATCATGACTTGATATCAATTGATCTGTAGTTGCATATGATCATGATCAATAAATTTTGGACTTAAAACAGTTAAGGTCTAAAACCATTTGACCTTTGAAATCGTGGCTATGATCCTAGCTTTATCCATGAGGACAACGAGAAATAAATGGTCCAACCGATGCACCAGATCAAAATAATATGAGGCAGCACTTCAATGAATATGATAAGTCACAAGAATGTTCTGTCTCGGCTTTGAACTAGTGTAAGAGGAAAATAAGGGTCCGTTTGGTTTTCTTCTGGAATTGGAATCAGAATTAGAATGGTCTATTCCCAGAGCCTGTTTGGTTCAGATGGGAATCAGAATTGGAATTGGAATAAACTGGAATGAGATCTCATTTCCAAGGGAGGGGGAGGGAATGGCCATTCCTTCAAATAAGAAAATGCCCTTCCACCAGGAATAAGAATGGGATTCTGGTTCTGCCCAGCCAATTGGTTGGAAGTGGAAGGGGCTATTCCGATTCTGATTCCAAACCCCTATTCTCACCAACTAAACGGGTCCTTAGGTAACGGGAGTATATTGAGAAACTCATATTTGAGATGCACTAGCATATAGTATGTTGACGAGTATAAATGACCATTTGAACTTTGTTAAATCAACTAGGATCCCAAATGTTTGTGGTTTAAGGTAGAGTTTGCATCGACTACGGATTGAAATATTTTTCCTCGTTTCTAAGGTATTTTTTCATATCAGTTTTAGTTTGGAAAGAGTACAAATATAAATATGTACAGTGCAAATACTTATAATACAAAATACAAGTTATTTTTTTTTGATAAATATACAAAATACTAGGTTTTGCACTCTACGTATTTGTATTTATACTTCTTCCAAACTGAGCCTCAAGGATTACAAGGAGAATTTCCTGATTTCAACGCATAGTCTTCTCTTTGTTAGCATCGTCCTTGGCTAAAAAAAAGTGAGAAAGATACACGAATTATCATTTGATACGAGTCTTGGCGGGATAAATAAATATTTTTTTCCTTGGGGAAAGAACTAGTGATGACACGTGTGATGCACGGGCTGTTGTTTAAAAATATATTTTTTAAGAAAAAGAATGAAGTAACAATGATTCATTAAATATTTCATAATATTTTTAGTTTTTTTATATATTAAATAGTAGAAAAGAATAAATTGTTTTGAGTTATTAAGCTTCAAACTTATTCATTTTTATATAGCTTAAATATACTAGTATACATTAATCAACTATTTAGCATAAGAATCAATTGATAGTGGCTTACTTAGTTTGGGTCCAACCTAGGGTTCATATTTGGGTTGGAAAGGATTAAGAGTGATTTAGGGGGAAAATAGGGATTTAATAGGGAGGGGAGATGTTACAAACATTGACTATTAAGGTGGGTGGAGAGAGAGAGATTTAAGAATTGACTTATTAAAGAGTAAATATGAATTTTATGAGAGACAATGCGATTCGTGTGGGTTTTAATTGACTTGTTATATTTTTAATGATTTAAGTTAAAAGTAAACATGCACATGTCTAAGAAATGAGAGGTACTTGTGAGCTCTTTGGTAAAAGGACCCCTCACCTCCCTTCTTTCCTCTTTCTATTACTAGTAATTAAGCACGTGCATTGCACGTAAGAAAATTTTCTTCATATTATGTACTTGAATTTTAGATATATAATAGTTAAAATAGAAGTCAAAAGTTTACATAAGTAACAATATTATTAAAAATAAACTTAAATCCTTGTAGTAAATAAGTATGTGCATTGCACGTGGAAACTTTAAATTATAATAACAATTATTATTGATGGTGTGCAATCCGGTAGCTCCTAGTTGGATGGCAGCTCGAAAGTCGGTTGCTCAGGTGGCCGGTCGAACTGCAAGAGAAGTAGGATTAGAGGACCTAGGGTGGCTAACCCGGCGTGGTCACTCCGATGCTTAAGTTAGTAACTGTGATGTTGCGAGCTGATAATTTGACAATAGGAGAGTTAGAATGCACTAAATTGCGTGTACCTGGGTCTCAGGGGTTGGTGCCCTTATATAGATAAATTGTCGTGGGTCTCACAAAAACACCTTTGAGATCCTCAGCTTGCGCCGTTAGGAATTCGTTCTGCCCTGGGAGGTGGATAACATGCTAGCCAATAACGCTTAGTAGGTCCTTTCGATTCGGGCGGGATGAGGATAAGGCCTACGGTCGTTCCGATCCCTGCCAAGGTGCCCAAGACACTCGAGGTGGCCTAACTCACCGAAGTGATATGGAATGCTGATGTGGCAGATGATGTCACAGTCCAATCACCAAGTCGCATCCACATGTCCACTGTTTAGCAGGTCGGGCCAAATCGCTCCTCATTAATTGCAGCCCACTCCCGTGCCAGGGGTCCTGACCCGGTGCAGGGAGGTCATGACAAACTTGGGTGGATTTGGCCCAGTCTCTATCTCGGTCAAAGTCCAATATGGCGGTTAGACCATATTGACCAGTTTGCTCGACCATAAAACTAGGCCGCATATCGGGAATGTGCAGACGTCATGCGGATTACAAAACCCTACAGACGTCAAAACGCACACTCAATCGATTTTGGCCTCGAGAGCCGTGCAACTGGTTTTGATGAGAACCGTTGGATCGAGCAGAACCCAGCCATTTGAGACCGACTATCTTGGCTATAAATAGGGACCTTAGGGTCCCATCTGCCTTGTCCTGTTTCGATTTTTTGCGATTTGGATCTCGGATGCTAATCCAGGTTTGTGGCTTTTGTCTTGCTCCCGAGGTTGGTTCATCGTTCGTTCTTCGGGTAAGCTTCCTTCATTCTAGTTCGTTCTCCTTTTCATAATGAGTAGTAGTAGCAGTAGTTCTCTTAGTGGGAGTGATTCCAGTCAAGCTGAGGGAGTCTCCTCAACTTATGACTATGAGTTCGGTCAAGCTGAGGGAGTCTCCTTGGCTCATGACCATGAGTCCAAACCAGCTGAGGCGGTCACCTTGGTGCACCAAATAGACTCTAGCCCGGCCGAGGAGAATCCCCTAGTTCAGGAGTGGAAATTGTCTCGTAAGAAGGTGTTGTCCTCCAAGTCGTCGGGCAAGAAGGCATCGTCCTCCCATCATGCTCGTAAAACCGAGGTCCAGATAGGTTCTATCCCTCTATCTTATCACCCAAGAAGATCCGAGTTCTGGTTGCAAAGTACAAACTCCCCAATAACCTCGGATATTCCATCCCCTTAGAGGGGTTTCCAAAGGAACATGATCGCGACGAGATCACGGTCTTCGAAGAGCTGCTAGTTGTTGGGCTGCGCTTCCACTTCACCCCTTCATTGTTAAGGTCATCAAAAATTTCAACATAACTATAGATTTGTTGCATCCGAACTCAGTCCGCACTATAGTCGGGACCATCTCTGTGTTCCATGACTTCGACATTCCCTTGAATATAGACATTTAGTTCACTTTGTGGCATCAAGAAGAACCCTACCGGCCTCATAGAGGTAGATAAGTGTAGTTACTACATCTCTTACCGACCAGGGTACAAGATTCTACATGAGTACCCTAACAAGGTCCCACCTTGGAAGAATAGATATTTCATTGTTACTGCTAAAGGGGGACGACCCTTTTCGACGCACTAGAGGAAAAGCATCAGTGACCCCGGGGACAAGCTCGATAGTGAGCAGCAAAAGAATATGCACTTTTTGGTGGATCTCGGTCTGAAATCAAATGATTACTTGGCCGAGGAGAAACTCATCGCAGTCGGGCTGAGTCCTCGGGGTAGGTTGCCACCTCGGCACACACACACTTAGCCTTTCCTCCTTGCATTTTCCTTTGATTACTTTAACTAATCTGGTATTCGCTTTCAATAGGAAGTATTTCAGATATTCCTTCCACTGACCTCTTCTGGAGCATGGAGAAGAGGAAGAACAGGAAGGCGACCTGAGGTTATGCTTCCCATTAAATTGCTGTCAAGCCCGCAACTGACCCTACTGCCACTACTACAACCGAGGATCCTCCAGTCATGGACTTGGTTGAGGAGGACCAAGGAAAGGGTTCTCCGCCTCACCAACCCAAGGCGACTCAAGTGCCCGAGCCCCAGGCCGCTCCTCCCGGGGCTAGCTCTTCTGGATAGGGCCCCGAGGTGGTCCCAAGCATCAAGAACACTCGGTCTAGCCTCACAAAGGGTAGGGATGCAGTCTTCCCCAAGGAGGTCACTCAATTTGCCGGGCTGCCAGTCACTTAGCTCGGGGCTAAGGCGGTAACTCATTGCATGGTGGTACATCCCCGATCTTTGTACTTGTGCCGTTGCTCATTCCACTTTTGTACTTAGAAATCTTTTTTCCTTTCGTAGGTCAACTCTTTGATTCATTCCCTCATGCAACATTTCGAACTACACCTGAAGGGGGCTCTGGCTGCCGATGCGAGGGCCGAACGAGTTGAGGGAACAGCCACGAGCACCCAGGGTGAGCTGATAAAGGCCTTAGGTGTCATCCACAAGCTCGAGAATGATGCATGGGCAAAGAAGGAGTTGATCGAACACCTAATGAAGGATGTCGATGAGCTGAAGATTACTATGAAGGAGCGCGAGGTCATATTTACTGAAAGCATAAAGGAAGTTGGGGATGCTGCCATCGCTGCTTACAAGAGCTCGCCAGAGTTCCACAAGTTGAAGATGGACATCCGCTCGGATGCTTATCGAAAGGGCTTCAAACTCTACAAGTGGCTGACTAGGCGCAAATTCCCCGACCTCGACCTCGGTGCCATCACCACAATCAATGATGAGAGTAGAATTTATCACATTTTTATCCCCAAATATTTTGTCTTTCATACCTAATTAGTACTTAATTGGACTCATATCTCTTGTATTTCGGTTCAGGGCATGAAAAAAGGCATCAGGAGCAAAGAAAGGCAAATCGGATGATTTTTCACAGTTTCGGCAGCGTTCCGTAATCTGGGCGTAACTCGCGTATCCGAACTCTGATTGGGCTGATTCAAGATCTACTGTAAAGATAAGAGAAGAAGCCACAACTTTCATGTTTTGGGCTTTCGCTGATTCGGCCTGCATCGAAGACAAATCCGGGCACAAAGTCGGGGCAAATTCGTAGGAAGGTTTAATCCGCAGCTGAAGCCCAAC